AATGTGGGCATATCACTTTCTTGAGCCATTTTTATGATTTAGCTTTGACACTTCTGTAATAAACATCAACAATTATTAACCAATTTAATTATTTTTACAAAATTTGTTCTCGTAAACGCAGCAGAAAATACCGGAAATTTACATGGGCATTAGTAACGACACGTTTTGAATGAATTTAATTTTAAGTTCGGCAACGGTCTTAAAGCGTATCAAACGAATTTCAACACTTCTAGCCGACTTTACAATTATTTTTCTCTGCTTGTAAATAAGCTACGAAGAAAATAATAATATACGAATATTGTACTAATAAAATTGTACCTACCTTAAAATTTTAAAATGTAATATTCTTGGGATGGATTATAAATTAGCTGATGTAACACGACAACAGCAAAAGTCGTTAGAGTTCACAATGGCGTTCCCTGTTCGTAAAGGAGTATGAGTCAGGCGTTAAGGTTAAATTATTTTTTTTTTTTTTATAGAGCGTAGTGAAGTTGAAAGTTAAAGCAGAAAGTATTATAAAAAGATGCGTGTGTTAATAGCTTAAATTTACTAATATTTAAATGAAAAATAAATAGTTTTACAAATTAATTTCCTCATTACGTCACAGAAAAGTATGACGTAGTTGACACATGCGCATGAAACGCACGGCACTGCAGAAGTGCCAGTTGCTTGGATGTATCGATTTCCGAGAAGGTAGTGTGTGTTCTTTGGTTTTTAGTGTCGTTGTGTGTGAACGTTTTGTATGAGATTTTTATGTAAAACGAAAGAAATCCGCGGGGTTGTGTTCTTGATCACTCAACATGACGAAGGATAGATTGGCGGCTCTTGTTGCGGTAAGCAGAGTTTTCTACTACATCCTTTTTGAGTTTCCTGTTTGAAAACAATATACAGTTAACGTGATTTAAATTATCTTCGCCCCTTGGAAGGTCTTATCAGATCCAAATTTCGTTTGTCATGTATGACAGAATTTTTTGGCCATATAGGTATATCCACTTGGTAATTTACATAATTTAGAAAATTAGGTTAGGTGATTAAATAAGGCTGTTAGAGTTTGTCATCAAATGTCATAATAACCATCGTCATTTGCCCCACCCCACGACAATTTTTATTGCTTTTTTGTAAAGGGTTGAATTGTTAATTTTGGGGTTTTATTGTTTCCAGGCCCAAAGTGACGACGACGATGTTGGGCCAGACGATGTCGCCGTCAATGTTGAGGGCCGCGACAGCTTTATGGAAGCCTTCTTCGCGGAGGTGAGTTCGTACCCTATCTAGGGATCTTCCTTTTTTTGAGTCCCAAAGCTTTTTAGATAACTAAACTGTATCAGACACAATATTACTATCTAGTAACATTATACTTATTATTATTTTTTTATTAAATAAAAAGTTGCAGTCATTTGTTTATTTTTGATTCAGGAATAGGAGTTGTAGGACAGGTGCTTTTTTGGAAAGAAGTGTTTATAAAATTATGAATGAATGACGTGTTTAATAAACGATGATTCATTTACTCATGTACAGTTATGTGTACCATTTTTTTTTAAATTATGATTCGTTATGTTTAAAGGTATTTTTTGTACTAAAAGAAACAAAGGTTTCCTTTTTCTTTCATTCCATTGTTTTGATAGAGTAATGTTGTCCTTTTGGAGCGTTAAAATTGTGCTGTAAATTATTTCCAGCTACTGTATTATACCTACAAAGCATACCATAAAAAAAATTCTGCGAATTTTATTCTTACTCGATTGTGGCACAAACTTTCTTCATACTCTGTTGACAATGTAAATTACCTAACATTAACTCGAATTTCTGTTTTCTCTTCGTTTTGAAAATTTAAAAATGTTGGTGTAACTGTAGAGAAAATCGTTTGATCTCTGTCGAGATTTTGATAACGTTATTAGTACAATTCTGTTATGAAGTTTATGATACTTGCAAATCGTAAAATTCACATTTTTTCGTCATGCCTGATGTGATATATATAACTGTTATTTTTATGACAAGTTGGAATCATTAATTAATTAAATTATTTTAATCTAATTATCGCTTTATACAATCGCTCTTCTTTTTTTTTAACAAAAAAAGTCAAAGGTTATATTTGCAATAAACATATGTTTTCTCCTACGATTGCATTGATGATTAAGTCCTGCCTCAATTTTCAAGGAAATATTTGTAATAAGTATGACAATGACATGAAAAAGAGGTCGTGTAAGTTGTATTTGTAGCTATTCTACATGTATCACACATCATGGAATACCACACACTAAAGTTAATTTTGCTGTTGTAATTTATATCATCATCTTAAGGTCGTCGGTCTTAGGATTGGTTGGACACGCACCTCCATTCTTTCTTATCCTGAGCTAATCTTCGCATTTCCCTTAAACTAAAACAACCCACATCCTTAACTGTTTGCGAACAGTAATCTAATCTAGGTCTACCTCTACTCCTCTTAACTCCTGTTTCTGCCTCGAATATGTCTCTGACTAAACTTTCATGCCTGAGAAGGTGTCCTACCAACCTATCTCGCCTATTTTTTATTGACTTCCATAGAATCCTCTGTTCTCCTATTTGTTCTAATACCTCTTCATTTGTACTCATTTGTTTAAACCAGGTCCGACGAAAATTAAGGGAAGAAATGGATATCATTTATATACCAACATTTTTTTATTTCCAAATTTTAACTGGGTATTGTACTTTTCTGTTTAAAAGTTTATTTTCGATAGTTCCCAATAGCGTATTCAACTTTTTTAGAACTTTTTTGAAATTTTGAAAAATTTTCGCAATATAAGGAATGATTTACGATGCTGATGATTATTTTTTGGGATGCTTTCGTCAATAACAATTACATTATTATAAAATTAATAATAAAATTTATTAAAAAGCGAGATAAGTTTCATTAATATTTGCAAATATTTGTAAAATTTCGTGGCAGTTGAACTACATTGTATTAAATCAGGGCTAGTATTACGGGGGTGGTGTAGGCGGAGTAGTTCTGCACAGAGAGTCGGGAGAAATTTAATACCCTGTAGCGTGGGAGGGCGATTAGACATTAAAGGACATTTTGAATTCAGCGAGCACTAATAAAGAGATCAACATTATGCCGTGGGAAAGTACAAACAAATGGATAAATATCATGGGGGTTGGTGAAGCTCATGGACAAAAATTTTATATTTAAATGGCAAACGTTATCGTCCACCTACGACTTTTACTGTGCCTTTTCGAGAAAATCGTTAAAATAAACTCCCATCGATTTAGTATATGGGATGACATACGTACACATGTCAATGTTTTTTTCTTTGATAAGATTGACTTTGTGAAGTAGACAAAAGTTGTTTTATGATGATCATATTTTGTATCCACCTACTGATATTTCAACTTGCAATCGAAATTTCAATTTGTAACTTTAAACGCCTGTAGAATCGCAATCTTACGTAACCTAACTCAATCCCAGTTTAACCCGTAGCAATTTTAAGAAAGGACAAGAGTAGTACAATACATTTCGATCATGTTGTCTTCACTTTTTGCAACAATCAAATTAATAAAAGTTTTAAGTTCAATTAGGTTAGGGTTATAATTTTTGGGGTATGTAAAGACAACACGAACGAAGTGAGTCGTGTACTTTTTTTTGTTAAGACGGTTGAACCAATCTTAATCTAACTCAATAATAAGAAATTCAATCGTCACAACACTGAAAGGTAAAATTATGATTCGTACTGAAAAACTCTGGTCTAATAAATGAATTGTTAAGTCCAGATGTTTCGTCGGCAATTACGGTTGTCAACTTCAGTGGTACGCGTTGACACCGTGAACACTGAAGATTTCAGTCACAGTTGCCAACGAAACGTCTGAACTGAGCAGTTTATTTAGAGCACAGTTGTTCAACCCGAATCATAATTCTACGAAACCATTGATTCTGGACGTGAAAGCCTATCTTCCTTGTTATACTGATGTAAATCAATACTCAATTCGAAATTTCGAGATACAAGTTGAAATTTCGACTTTTAACTCGAAATTATGTTTGGCCTTTCTATATTTGAACCTTCAGTCTGTCTCTCAAATCTTTTATTTCATCGTCAGTAATTATTACAACTTAGTTTTACGTGTTTATATAATATATATAACCACGAACAATTTGTTAATCTGTTTTGTACAAATATTTTAACTTTTCCTTAGTTTCGCATTTCTTGTTTAAAAAAAAATTAATTTGCTTGTACTTACTGCGCCTGCAATTCAGCATGTAGTTACTAACCCGTTAATTTTAGTAATAAATAAAAAAATAAAATTTACGTAATTAATAGTAGTATAATCCCCAGTAGCACAACAATATTGGTAAAATATTATATTTACATATTGGTTCAATGATGGAAACGTCAGATTTTTTTTTATTGGCCCAATGTAGATTTTTAATATTAACCCAATATTGAAATTAAATATTGTTCCAATGTTAGGAAATAATAAATGTGCAATATTTATTTGAAAAATACAGCCAATATTTGTTTTCCAGATTGGTCCAATATATGTTTTATATNATTTCCGATAGCGGGTAGCACCACAAAACCAACATTACAAAACCCTTAGTGAGCGAGTCTTACTCTCACTTTATCAGTAACCCTTACGACTAATAAATTAGAAGTCAGTTACAAAGTTGATAGTATAAATCTGTAAGTGAAAAGTTTCATCGTCAGTGTTATAATTTCACATTTAAATAAAGTTGGAAACCGATTATGTGTAAGACGAGGTCGTTTGAATATGCAAGAGAGCATTAAAAATAGAAAATTACAACCCCCTACAAAATATACGATACATAACTCAGGCACCTTATCTAGCGCCCGTTATCGGGGAAAAAGGAGTTTCTTACGTTGAGGGTAGAAGTTTTCTAATGGCTGGTAGCGATTCGGAAAATCGACCCGCTTTATGTACATGCCGTATACAACAGCCATGGACTTCGCGTCGCGCCAGGACGACCCCGATTTGTTTTCTATTCAAGCCTCGAAGGGCGATATGTGTGGTATTGGGCGAAAAATAAAAGGCTCGGTTTCGTTGCCGGTAATCCTCGAGTTTTCCGGGATTTTCCCTGTCTCATTACAGTCAACTACATTCATCATTTCATCAGCCGACCGCCACACAATGCTTTTTATGTGCGTGCTGAAGTTAAAGTTGCATTTTCCATTCCTTATAATTTACATTTATGCCAAGAAATGGCGTTTATGTTATTAAAATATTAAATTGATAATCATTTTTTAATTTTGACATCGAGAACGTGCATGCATGGGAATGGGAAAATGGTTCTGATGATGGGCAGGGAAAAGTTAAAAAAGTACACCCAAGAGAGATATAAAAGTTAATCTACTTTTCGATCAGTGAAGTTCTATTTATTTAGTAAGGCAAGACTTGAGTTTTACCCTGGAAAACTTAAAACTTGTCACTAAGTTATCGATGTCGTAAAAGCGTCTAGATCTAATTTCGATAAATTACTTACTTTCTGCTAGAGAATTACGTATTACATCGAAATCATTTTCAGGAGGAAAACGTGTTGTGGAGAAAATTTATCTTGTATTTAATTTGTATTTAGTTTTGGAATAGGAACGAGATGTATATTTACGTATACAAGGTGTTTCTGAAATAAGTAGCAAGCTTTGGAGGGTGTTAATAAAAAAAATGGTGGCAAAACCAGACGAAGTTGCAAACCGAAGCCGGTCCTGGGCGTGAATTGCTAACGTATAGAGAAATTGCGTTAACAATTAAACAACTACATCGATGAAAAATGTAAACAGTTGTGGAACGACCAATAAAGTAAATATCAAGAGCTTACTACTACCCTATTACACATAATAATCGCCCATTGCGATAACAATTAATTAAATAATTACTTTGTCTATCGCTGATAATATGTAGTACTATTTAAAGTACATCTCGACAAGGTATTAAGAACACAAAATTTAAAAAAAATACTCGTACAACATTCAATGGAATGTTGGGCTGCGATGTTGTATTTCGTTGCATGATCCTGCCAGGACCGGACTGTATATTCAAATACATTTTCCTCGAAAACGGTGGACATTAGGTCCACTAAACATTTACTTAATTTTGTTGTTCTCTATCACCTCCTGCAAGCTTGCTACTTATTTCAAAAACACCCTGTGTGCACTATTTATTGACATTTGCTTAACCGGGTCATCAAAATATAGTTCGCTTTGTAATTGTACGAAATTAGGCAACGATATCATCTGCCTAAGAGAGAGAGCATAGGGTACCTGTCGCGGACCATCTGGTATTTACGTTTCGTCAGACGGGGAAGGTGGAAGGGTTAAAGGGGGAATGGAAGCTGGGGAAATAACGGTGGTTTGCGTAATTGAAATTTCGAAAGGGGAAGCAACTAACCGACCGGTGAAGCATTAGGCCGGAGCCCTCGGGAGATAACGGAACATGGCTTATTTATGAAGATAATCGGAGATGAAACGTCAAACTATCCGAGATAAATTCGAAACGCCACGAATGGAACATTGAGATTAATGTTTTCCAAACGGGTCGGTAATAAGTCTTTAAAAGTTAGATTTGGTCTTTGTTTGCAAATAAATAGTATCTTTAAGATTAGTAAGATAAAACTAAATATTAAGGCTAAAGATAAGCTTTTTGTTTTTGAGTAAAATTTTGTTCACCATCAGAAGAGCACGCTGAAAATTGTTAGCCACTCGTTTTGCTATTTTCGTTGTACATTACATATGTATTGGTATGCAATTTTTGGAACGGTAATGTTTGTGCAATTTGCATGGTTGGTTATTTGTTTTGAGCGTTTCTGCATTGTCCCAAGAGTCCTTTTTGTTATTGCATTCCCGGAATGCGATGAATAAGCAATCGTGTTCAATCTCCCCTCGGATGGCGATGGGACCGATACTTTTCTGATACGCGCTGGAGTGGGCGCGACGACAATGCATTCAAAATGAAAATCGGATCGCAAAGGACATTGTCCCGCACGAATACTCCTCGCAATGGCCTAAACTAAACTCCTTTGATAATATTTATTCGAGGCGGAGGGACTGCTCTGAGATAATTCCCGAACGCTTTTGACCTTTTTTCTCGAATGTGAGGAACGCAATATAAAGAAAAGTTACCGAAAATCTGCAGATTAACGATGTTTTAACTTGAAGGCTGTCGAGCAAACATTTCATAAGAAGAGTTGGAAAATCTTTATGTTTTATCAAAACAAAAAAATACAACCTCACTAGATACCTCATGATTTTCGAGTTTCAGAATTTTATATTTATCAATTGCCCCCTGCTTTTTAAGATTTTTTGCCAAAATAATCTATTTTCGCATTAAATAATGTTCTTAATATTTAGAGGAACAGAGGAAGAGAAAGGTTATTTTTCGTTTAAATGCCACCAGAAAGTGTTTCTGATGTTTCCTCATCCTTCCGGCGTCCCGTTCTTTGGCGCTGTTTATTTGAAGTTTAGTGTTTACGTCATTCGCCATTTTTTTAATCTACTCTCAACTGTCTTCGCCTACCTCTAATCTGATAAACGCCGACGTTGGAGGGATAACGAATGGAGTCGTGGCTGCCCGTGCGTGGAATTATTTCACGGAAATGAAGCTCTTTTTTAAGATCTAAAGCCAAATGGCAAAAGCAGAATCCTTAGAATTTTGTATGATTTTTCAGTCTATCCGTCACGTTTCTTTCGAAAACTATTGAATTTACATGGCTCAAATTTGAAATAGTTGTATTAGATAGTTATGATGGCGACAACGGATTAAAATAAATTCTTGCATAAATACACCGTCAGGGCTAGGTCAGATTTTATCTTCTTGTACTTAGTGAACTGTAATGGGGTAATTAAATAGTTCCATGATTTTTCATCCCCCGGCATAATAAGACCGGACAAAATATCCCCGGACAAAAATCCCCGTGACAAAATGTCCCCGTGACAATATATCTGCAGACTAAATATCCCTAGACAAAATATCCCCCCCACCCTAAAAATCGCTATAAGAAATTTTTTCTAATAATTTATTCAACCTAACCTAACCTAACCCTGTCAAACTTGCGCCATGCTACCTTGCCGTACGTTCCCTTCCTTATCAACCACACCTCACATGGTCAAACATAATACAATCCAACCCAAGTCAATCCAGCGCAACCTAACCTTACCTAACCTAACCCGGTCAAACTTGCGCCATGCCACCTTTTCGTACTTTCCCTTCCTTAACAAACCAATCTAACATGATCAAACATAATACAATCCAACCCAAGTCAATCCAGCGCAACCTAACCTAACCTAACCCTATCGATTTAATGACTTATATATTACTGACAATCAAACGTTATTATTATTAAATAAATACAAATAAGTATGTGAAATGAAGTATATGAATTTTATATTATTTATTGGAGTATAGATTCGATAATTTATTATCGGGGCTTTTGTTCGGTGATATTTAGTCTGGAGATATTTTGTCACGGGGTATTTTGTCTAGGGATATTTTGTCACGGAGATATTTTGTCCAGAGATATTTTGTCAGGGATATTTTGTCAGGGGATCAAAACGCCTCATACGAATTAAATACCTTTTCGTTTTACACTTATTTACCTGTTAATTGTCCAGTAATTTTGAAGAAATTAGTGAACATTTTTGTTGTGTGTTTTAGTTTAGGTTTTAGGTCAATATTGTCTCTTTTCATTTGCGTCCTGGATTCTCTCTTTCTCTTGGCTTTTTTTTTCTAAGTCGTTCACGTCAGGACGGAGTTGTCGGTTTCCTAGCGTAACAAGTTCTGCACTTGGCCCTTCGATCCGATCCTTCTTTATAGTATCCAGTCGTCTAACATTTCTATTTAAATTTCTAATATGAGTTGAACTTTAAAGACGCCCAGGGTATCGTCTGGGAAATCCTTGCGATTTCGTATTAGCGGGATTGAAGACGGCAAAATCTGCTCGGGACGTCTTAATCGCGACGCAAGACGTCGGGTGTGTGCCGGTGTCATTCAGACGCTCTCTAGGCCGTCTAGGATCAATACCGCTAGCGAATGCCTTCCTCGTCTTTCTCTCGCATTCATATAGGTGTCTGGATATATAAATTTGTGGTCAGCGTCGACTTGGCGTCGTTATTAGGGGACTCGCCACTTCTTTGTATTGGATATATAAATTTGTGGTCAGCGTCGACTTGGCGTCGTTATTAGGGGACTCGCCACTTCTTTGTATTCCTGGTCGTTTTCTGTTCTATTTTAAGACATTCGTCACGGAAATAGATGTAAATTTAAAAAGGTTAATGCGAGTAATCGGGAATTTATCAATGTTTTAGTGCATGCACTTGTTCTGATAAATTATCTTTTATGTATAATATAATATCGTATATTGAACATTATTTCGCGTGTTACTCTACCATAAAATCTTAACACACGTTTGCGGAAATAATTTAATCCATTAAATTGAAATTTATTTGCTGATTAATTATTGTAATTGGTAAAACGTAAATTTATTGCTTTTGGGATTTCACACTTTATACAGCTAAAAGAAAAATCGAACCCATTACGTACTAGGCTTACAAAGATATATTAGTGATTTCTAAAATGGACTATAATTTGTCCCCAATTTGTTACGAAATCCTAAAATTTGTCGTTCTAGTCGGACACTAGAAAATAAACTGGCCTGATATCAATCTAACACGACAAAGTGCACTATAATTTGTTGCTTGATGTCAGGCTAGTTTATTTTCTAGTACTTGCTGGAGTGATAAATTATAGTGCACTTTGTTGTGCCAGCGTGATATCAGCTTGGCCTATTTTTCGGTAACTGGTTGGAGCGACAAATTGTTGGATTTAGTAACAAATTAGCGACAAATTATAGTGTATTTTGTCGTGCTAGCTTGATATTACGCTGGGGTATTTTCTAGTTTCAGTCTGGAGAGACAAATTTTTGGATTTGGTAATAAATTAGCGACAAATTATAGTTTATCTTGTCGTGCTAGCTTGATATTAGGCTGGTGTATTTTCTAGTATCCGGTTGGAGAAAAAAATTTTTGATTTGGTAACAAATTAGCCACAAATCATAGTGC